GAGGTTTCCAGAGATCATGTACTCCAACCCCCTGTTCAAAATATGAGAATGAACTCAAATCCAGTTGGTGCCAGAGGCTCAGTGTAACAGAGCAGCATCTGGGAACAAATTCTGTGTTGTTACCAGACCACACAGGATATTGGAAGGGTAAAAAAAAGAGTGGCTCTTCTCTGACCAAGCATGCTCAGGTTGGGAAGGAACTCTTAACCCACAAGTATTCCTTTTTATTTGAAGTCAAGAGCAATAAGGATTTTTTTCTAATATAAAGAGGAACAACTTTCTGATCTTACGTTTCCCCTCCTGATTCCTCAGCTCTAAGCACTGCTGGGTGATTGCCCAATTCAGAATAGTATTCCCAAAGCACAAGCAGCAAACCAAGGGTGTAAGACTAGGAATTTACATTAGGCCATTTTTCAACAGCAAACAGAGGTTTGCATTATTTATATTAGGTGTCTTAAAAAATCTATTACGTTAAACAAAGTAGTACTGACTGCTTTGGAATAAACAAACGTTGTATTTTGGATGTGTATTTGGAGTTCATACTACAGTGCTACACCAGCAGCGAATTTAGACCTTTGCCTTGCATTTTAATCAATGTTAATAAGACTTCTGTTTCCATGAGAAAATAAGTAGAATTTTCTTCTCCTGGCATTGAAGCAGCACTTGTCCACATGTACCTTCTGTCCAAGTAAAAGGGCTCACAGTCAGTCTCAGTAGTAGGCGATAAGGCTCACAGCTATTCCACCCAAAGACAATCCAGATCCCTGGAAGTCATTAACATGGTCTCGGCCATCAGTACACTCCCTGTTGGTACTTCCCTCACCAGCACCTGAAGAGAAGTCCTTAACACAAATCCAAAACACAGTAATTTGAATAAATCCCATGGAAAGAGGCAAACACCCGTGTGTAATTCTTCCAAGCAGGTGGAAAGGCATGGGAAAACCTGAGGTCTCTTTTGAGGATATAAAGTTGCTAATAAGGAGCACAAGCTGTTTCAGCAATAGTAGATGTCTACAGTCCATAAGAAAAAAAACAAGCCCCAGCATGGGTAAGACCTTCCTCTTCATCAATACCATACAATTTTTTACCATCTGAGAAATCATTACACCACAGTCTCTCCCCTAAGCATTATAAACTACACAAATACGTTACATTTCTTTTGTATTCTCTAGGAGAAACTAGCTTTTCTTAGAGGAACTTTAAACTCAAGTTCACTGAAGTCCCATTAGAGAAACTTCATACTCAAGTACACTGCAACTTCAAAAACAAATAAAATTGCAAAATGAAAACCCAAGCTTCCTCTCAGACAGAAAATAAATGTCCTTCTGAAGAGCAAAGTTTGTCAGGACAAAGAAAAAGCTTACTTGTAGGCTGCTCTGATTGAAATCAGAACTCTACCAAAAAAAAAAATCATCATCATTTTCTCCAAACATTTTTAAGATACTAAAAAAGCAGTTACACAGCTTATCCTTGAAATCAATGAACAGAGAACAAACCATCCTTGATGAGGTTTAGCAACATCAATTAATACACTAATTAAGGCGCAGTGGGAAAGGAAGGCTTTGAGCATGTAAGTGCAGCACTGGCAGTAGATTAAGTATTTCATTAACCTGATGGATTTTTAGATTGTGAAGGCACCTAAGAATGTATTTTTTGATGCCCATTACCTGTACACAGAAGATATGCCAATGCAGATTGCTTTTATTCCAGCAGTTATTAAACAAGCTTCTTACAGGCACTTCAACTGGTGTTTTTACTGGGTGAGGTTTTATCTTTCTGTACTGGGGAGGGGGTTCCTCTCTTTAGCATATGGTGACCCAACAGTTTTTCAAGGTAGAAATTGCTGAAGAGTAAGATTTGCGTATAGCAGATACACTTGGTTAAAAAAGCAATTCAACAGATCATACCCCCTCCTTGATTTACACATTAGGTGGGACTTGTGTATCTAGGAGAGAGCACAACTGCAAATGTGTGCCCAGATTTTTTCAGTTCCTTTACCAAACAAGTGAAAGGCAAAGAAAGATGCACTTAGAGGCCGGGAGAGATATAGTGTACATGAACAAGCTCCCTCTGCTGTCCAAACTTCCTTGGGGTGGAAGGCTTTTTTTCCCTTGCCTGTGCTCACACAACTGCATGCACACTGTGAATCCCCTAATATTGTCTCCTCAAGCCGAGGATGAAAGCTTTAACTCATCCTCAAGCTTCATTCCATTTCAGATTTCCCAATGCCTTCCACCTGGTATCAAGGCAAAACAGAAAACACCTGTAGGCAGAACACCTTGGAGAGCCACTAATTACTTGCAGTGGATTTCCAGGGAGGTGTGGTAATTGCCAACAGCCAACTCCCTGAAGCTATCTATAGATGGAAGTAATAGAGATAACCCGGTATCCTTTCTGGAGACAAAAGGGATGTGTTCCAAATGCCTTAAGAGCCTCGGGGGAAGTGGAAGTTCACATGCAAAGCAAGACTGCCTCTTCCCCCGGTGAGGAGTCTTATGTTGATTCTGCTGGAAAGGAAGAGAAATCCTTGGGAGAGACATTCCAGCCATGACTTAAGAATGTGATACAGTGGTTCAGGAATCAATCGTAGTTCACTGTTAACTCCAGGGCAAAAACAAAATGCAAAGTCAAATACAAAAGTGAGATTTTTAACTAGTCGAGGAGCAAATAATCAAATAATCACAGCACTGCCTCACCACCTGTTTCATTCACAGCTGAGAACAGCTTTGCTAATCTACTGTCCACACTGCACAGCAAGAATTAAATGTACCCCCGAGGATTTTTTTCAGTCAAATTCACTCCATTAACTCCCAAAAATAAGTATTTGCTCAGGAACAGATTGTCTGCTAACTAGCTAAATTCTTCTTCTATAAATTGTACAAAATGAGGCAGCATGTTCTCTAGGTGTGATCTCTTTTGCTCCACCAATAAAAGTTCAGTTTCCTTTCATTATTTTACCCAAAGTCCCAGCTCACTCATACCATACTGTAAATCACTAAGGATAACCAAGTCGTTAATTCCATTAAAGTTTCTGTTTCCTCTTCTTGCTGAAGATGTCCTGTCCTTTGTATTAAATATCTCCTGCTCAAAAAACTCTTTCACTGAGGAAAGACCTTCCAAAGCTCTGCCTAGCCCGAAGTTACCCAAGTCCTTCACTACTAAGCCCAAAGTCTGTAGTTTGGAGATTTTTTTATCCTAGTGTAAAGAACCCACTGATAACCCTACAGAAATTCTTAGTACCATACTGGCTGGGAAAATGTTACTAAAATAAAAACCGGCATGCTTCAAATTTCACAAAAAATGAACCTGTGCGTCACAAGATTTCAAACATAGTCTTTAGGAAGCTTAAAGTACTGATCCTATAATTTTTTCTCTTTTATTTTTTTAAACACATAGTAAGTGTCAGAAAAACTTTCTGGTTTTCCACAAAACCAAGAAAAATATTTCTTATACACACCTCTAAAGGAACACTAACCAGTTATAGTGTCACTTCAACATATATATGAATTCTCCCTGGCACTGGGACGGAGCTAAAAAGGCCTAAGGAGGACAGTGCAGAAATAGACACAAAAACAGCCCAGTAATCCATTGAGTTAGAGGTTAATTCTGAATAATCACAATTCAGACGATATTTGATCTGTAGGAGAGCAACTGAATACTGAGCTAAGAAATACCATTTGAATTCCAGCATTAGAGCAGTCAATACAGCTTTCAATAAAAATGATATACTCTGTGTAAACTCATTACTGTTAGCCTGCTCTCTTCAAACCATAAATGAAAAAATGTACTCATGTATTTCCTGCTACTAATTTTGTGGTACAGAGAAATATCTTCTACAGGTTTTTTTATATGTTCTCAGTTTCTACCACTAGCTTTATTCATGAAGCCTTAAGAAGTCTTTGGAGGAAAATGACTGCTCACAAAAAAGAGCCAAAAAAAAAAAAAAACCTTCAAAGGTCAACATGAAATAACGACTATACTCTTTCAAGAAAAGCTACACTGATATATGTATGTCTTCCAGTCACTGCTGCATTTTTCTATGCATTTATGATTACTTTGTGCATTTTTATGGGCTTAATAAAACTTAGACTACAGTATTTGTTTATAATGAAAAAAAACATTCCTGTGGACTAAAAACTAACCTCTAGTGGGCAATAAAGTAATATCACAACTTTGCTTATTTTCCAACCCATTTTCTACCATAAAACTAAATTTCTTTCCAGATCAAGTCAAGTAGTTATACCTCAGGTCAAAAGTTACACTCTTACCTTTTATTGGCTTTTACTTTTGTGGAGAAAAAGTTACAAACTCTACTCAAATATGCATTTAACCTGTATTATGCTGCTTTCCCTGCCTCTATTACATTTTCACCTTTCACTCTTTCAGAAAGACTCTTGAATCTGCTAATTTAATTACACTAAGGGGCTACACACCTGCAAGCTTCTTCACTCACCTTTTGGTTTCTTTCGCACTTTTCCCAATTTTGCCTGTCTCCATCTCCTTCCACTTTCTGCAGAGCTGAATAAAGTACCCAGCACTAGGTGACTGTACTAACCCACCGCTGGACTTGACCAGATGAGCTCAACCTGCTACACCTGAGGCTTATCCCTGCCCCTCCAAGTGTTACCAATCACCTGCTTAAATGGCTCAAACTCCTCAGAGTATTATGCAACTTCAACTCTTTCCTACCAAGCATGTCCAAGATTCTGCTTGTGAAGTTAATAAAGCATATATAAATACCCATGGATGGGTTTGTTGAGTTTTGCTGTGTTTCTTTTCTTCCTAACAGCACAACTGCAAGTGGTTTATTTCAAGTTCCATATGCTCAGACAATTCTTATAAAAGTTCATCTAGGAGACTGTCTTGATGAACTGTGCCTCAACCAAAAGGAAAATGGTAACACACGCACTTAGAGACAAACACAGCACACATGTAAGGGAAAATACTGCCCAGTAAAATTCCAGAAACAATTTCCTTTTCAATAAAGGTGTCAGGCCTGATGCAGAGCCCCATTAAGCTTTCTCTCAGTGCTTTAAGTCACAGTTACGTTTGAGGAATTCAGGTAAGGATTCCCTCTCTAGACTCTGAGCTCTGTTTACAACCAAGAACAAAGTCTATATTTGTATTATATACTCATGCTCTGGTAAGCTAGCTGAAGATTCCAGTAAAACAGAAACTGCCTGTAGTTGTGACCTGTGTCTCACTAATGGTCTCTCCAGAACATGTCCCATCTGCACCAGCACCAGACTTGATCCACTGCAGTAACTGAAGTGGCCTCTGATCCCTGAAGAATTCCACAGGCTGAATGTAGCAGCAAATGAAAGCTCTAAAGGTAAACTACTTGGTGAAACCTCCCCCTCAGCACCATTTACTGGAGTGTTAGCAACAGGGGGCTTTCCAGAACTGTGCTGTATATTAAACCAGAAGCAAGCAGGGTTTTCAAAAGGATGAAGTGGCTGTCCTAATTCTGTAATCACATAACCTCCTCCTTTTCTTTATCTCAGCCAAAAAACACGACAAATAAGACAGCAGTTAACCATGGAGCAAGAGGACACCAGTCATGCACAGATTTAGCCAATTCCTTAAAACAACCGTGGGGAGGAGTAATCACAATTCCCTGCCAGAATACACAGCTCTTAGAGGAACAAGGCACGCACAAGTGCTGAAAACCAGATTAATTAACTGCCCCTAACTGTCTGGCAGTAGCAAAATGTGATCAACATCTATGTTATGGATGAGCAAAGCGATGGCTGGCTCACACAATTAAGGGATGAATATTATGTGCACGTTAAGAAAAGCTTTAGTGATAGATAGTTATGTTATTGTGATGTATCTTCCCATAGATCTCTTTCCCCTCCTCCTCCTATCGTTGTGATGGGATGGGCTCGGTATCGGGGAATTTGGGGAGGGCCGGCAACAGCAGACTCCGATCGAGATGTAAGACAGCGATCTCCACCGAGAGATGGCAAAGGAGGAGTGCACGGACATGACTTGGGGAGAGGCTGGGAGTGTAAAAAGCAAAGCGTCCATTTTTGTAGAGGAGCACGTGGCAGATGGACAAATGCTCCCGGTGCTGTGTCCCTTCCCTTATTCAGTCCTTCTGTTGTATTTTGTTAAGTTTAATAAACCTTTTTCAATGGTGAGCATCGTTTCTCACAATCTATCACCAGTGGAACTCAGTAAGGATCAGGATGGGTCAAACAGCTCTCAAAACTACATGAAACCCTCCATCTCCTGCACTTCAGTAATAAAGAGTAAAATACAACACATACAATAATTTGTCAACAGAATACTTAAACCTGCAGGCCTTTTTAATCTATAAAGCACAGTGAAGACTCAAACATATGCATGAATACATCCTTACATGTTTTCTTATTACTCGCTAGTCAAATATGCCACAAAAGGAGGAAAAAAATAAAGGTCATCCAGCTTTCCATATTCTGCCAGTGGCAATATCTGAAACCCAGCACTCTGAAACCCTTCCCAGAGCAAGTACAAGTCCATCTCCCAGTTTAAAAGAAGAAATTTACTGAAGAAAGCAAGCCAGAGCCTAAGGCAGCTTATGTAATACAGAACCACCAAGCTCTCCCACTTCACACAAGTACACATCGTGTGCATTTAAATAATTCTTTTCAAGCGGTGGCTTTTCAGAAAGAAAACCAATCCCATTTCCAAAGCTTATCAGGAGTCAATTCCCTCTTGCAGCACTCCTGGAATCTCTCTCCAACCCAAGTGGCTCCCTCCAGCCTTTGGAATAGACCTTTAGTCTTTTGTTGTCCTGCTTCCCCTAAAGAGGACTCGAAAAAGTGGTAAGCGCAGGTAATACTCCATCCCCAGACAGCTTTGAACTAAATGACAAAGGGTAAAAACTAAACCCCAATAGCGACCCAAAACCACCCCAGAGCATGTTGCCTATCTCTCACCATTGCCGAGCCGCACCCCTTCACGCAACGGGCGCCATTTTGTCTCCAGCAACGGAGACTGAAAATTTTATAACTCAAGGGGAAAAAAAACTCCTAACGTATTGTTTTCTCTTGTTGCCTCACAGATTGCTGTCTTAGAACTTATGCTGCACGAAGTTACCCCTTAAAGCAGCAAGGCCACCAAGGCTCCCTGGTGGAGTTTTCAAACCAGTAAAAACATCTCCAAGTAGAGGACAAAGCAGAAAACTCACGGCTGTAGCTGGTTTCACAGGCCCGCCCTGCCCGCAACGCTTCCCTTCAGCACCGGCGGCCAAAAAGGTGGAATTCCGATGAACAAAACAGCTTAATTCCAAAGGCAGGGACAGCGGGATTCCAGCGGCAGATGACAGAAACCCGCGTTGAAAGGGCCATGCGGGAACGTGCAGCCAAAGCCGCCCGCGGCAGTGCGGCCCCCGCTCCGAACCTTCTAGAAGCGGGCGGGGCGGGCGCGCCCTGAGCAGCTGCAAACGGCGCCTTATTGCACACAGCGGTGCGCGGGCTTGTGAGGGAGCTGTCGGTCCGAGCTTCGAGTGCCTGAGGCTCCCGTCGCTCACAGCGCTCTGTGTCTGTGTCAGGGCCCCGTCACTCACAGCTCTGTTTGTGTGTGTGTTTGTGTGGGTCCCACAGGACAGACACAGCTCTGTGTGTGTTTGTGAGGGTCCCACAGGACAGACACAGCTCTGTGTGTGTTTGTGAGGGTCCCACAGGACAGACACAGCTCTGTGTGTGTGTGTTTGTGAGGGTCCCACAGGACAGACACAGCTCTCTCCCCCACACCGCAAGAGCTGCCATCCACAGGCACACACGGTAAATTCTTACGTGTTCCATCATCACTGCATTACGGTACGTCCTTATGCATTCAATATAGCTTACATTTCAAATATCTTGTAAAAATGTAATTAGTCCTCTCTTTAATTTTCACCCTTCCTTTATCCCTTAAATGAATCAGTAATTTTCTTAGGTTTATTAGTTTTTATTCTCCTCTTTTTCTACTCATGAAAGCCATGTTTCTGTGGCAGTGGAAGTCTCTGTTTCTGTTAATGGAGTTTAAAGGTTCATAAAACATTTTATAAGAAACCCTTGACCAATTTTTGGTGTGTGATTTCTGATCTAGGAAATGTGAAACTGATCACAAAGAAAACATTTAAAACTGTTCATAAACCTTCCAACCAAAACTCACATATAAAATTGTCCAGATTGCAAACTGCAGATTGCAGTGCTGTCTGAAGCGTCAGTGTGGGCTCACCCAAAAGCATGTGCATAGAATTCAAACTGCAGAAATGTGATCACACTAAGTTCACTGAAAAACTCCTGGGGGATTCTATCTTCTTTACAGTACACTGGTCTTGAAAAGAGGCAAATGAGTTGACTGTTTTTCACTGTAGAGCGATGCCCTGACAAGAAATGATCCTCATGCACAGCAGACACCTGTCCAACAGCAACCAAAAGACATGCAGGAGTCACATTTCAAAGGAAACAAATCTCTGTGCAGGGAAGTCTAGAATTTAAATCTACAAATGACTCCTGGTTAATTAAGCTAAATCTCAGAACATGCTGATCTGAACTTCCCATCACAAAAGGTCCTAGGATATGGCTACTGCTGTCCTCTGTCCCCTCGGTGCCCCAGCTGGGTAAGTGACGGTGATAGTGTGACTGAGTTCATATGGAGACAGCATGTCTGCACAGGTTAGTTCTGTCTGCTGAGCCTAGCAAGGACCTTCCTTACACCTAGCTGGACCAGCCTGTGTTTTTCAGAAGGTTTTAGAAATTTGTCATTAACTCAGTATTTTGAATGCTAGCCTAACAGTTATTAAAAAGCCATTAAGTACAATGATGTTAAAATGTAAACCATGTGAATTCCTTGGCAGTAACTACACTGACATTACTGCACATCACTCAGTTTTGATGTTCAGATTCTTTTAGAAAACTTCTGCAGAAGTTGAATAAAACCAAAGGGAAGTACCTAGTAGGGTGTTCCTTTTGTCTCAGCCAAGCTGTCATAAACAAAAACATGTCCAACTTCCTGATAAACAATGATCATTCACCTTCTTTCTAAACAGAATTCTACTCCATGGCTTCCCACAATGTTTTCTGATATTTTCCTTACTTTTTTTTTTTCCCCCATCCACTCTTCTTTTTTAATTTCATTTATGCTGCTATGCCTGTATTATAAAATAATTTGCCCTACTTTTTGCTCTCTTGTCTCAAACACAAGCAAGATATGACATAGTTCCTCTAGGTATTGTGTACAAACTGCATTTCAGAACAAAAATGTTTATGAGTTATTTCAGTGTATCTATAAATTCATGTCACAAAATACACTCTTGTAAAAAGCATCACCCAGGCAGTGGCAGGAAAAACACTGGTTCAAAAGCCATTTGCCATTGGTAAAATAACCAGGAAGATTCCCAGAGAGGTGGTTAAATTGAGCAAGCCAAATCGTTGCCCAGTCATCAGGAAAATACCCTTTAAAGCATAGAATGCTTTGGGTTGAAAGGGATAATCCAGTGCTGTGGGCAGGGATACATCCCACCAGGCCAGGCTGCTCCAAGCTCTGTCCAGCCTGGCCTTGGACACTGCCAGGGACAGGGCAACTTCTCTGGGCAGCCTGTGCCAGTGCCTCACCATCCTCACAGGGAACAATTCCTTCCTCCTATATGGATGCTAGCTTTGGAACAGGCTGCAGGGAGCTGCAGAAACTGCAGGCCCATAGCCTCTCAGTCCTGCCTGAGAAGCTAGCCTGGGAATTCAAAGGAGGATTTCAAAACAATCCTCAGAAAACAACTGCCAGGTGCTGTTTGTCTGTCCTTTTTTTTACCTTGCAGGAGAGAGTCAGGGGGGCAGTGTGCCACTGACAATGATGGTGATGTAGCACTTTGCTAGCCAATAAGAGTTTCTTTTCTGTACTTTCCACGTATCTGTCTATAAGACAGGGCTGAAGCAATAAACTAGGGAATTCTCGTGTTGTGACCCCCTTGAGGGTCCGTGTCGTTCTTTATCGCCGTTCCCAATCGGAACGACATCTGGTGACCCCGACGTGATGTTGAACCGACCCTCGAGGTCCGGTAACCCGACGTGAAGTGCAGCCGACCCCCGAGGTCAGAAAGCAACCGACATGACTTCTGCTAATCCCCTGAGGGTAAGCAGTGAGCGGGGAAAAAGCCAGCCCTTCCCCCTGGAGGGGTAAGTGGAATTCTCCCGGGCTTTCCTAGAGGAAGCTGGTTCTGGAAACCAACGGGATAGTGGAACCTGCCTGTGAGTGGGTTTGGAACGGCCATCTTGGTGAAGCAGAGCTCAAAATCCCGGGTCTGAGCCGATAGCGTGTGCATAATTGCATTCGCGGAGCCGCCAAGATAAAGTCCTCATAATGGGGAACTGTACTTCAGCTCATGAACAGCTTGCCTACCTTGCATGGCAGGAAGCCCTGCCCCGCATGGGACTCAGTGTTTCTGAAGATGCCATGCGTGCTTTATTTCAGTGGGTAAAAGAGCAAGGATTTGATATAACTATGGACAATGCCTTTGATCTCGAACTTTGGCTGTCGATAGAGAACCATTTATGGTCGGAATTCATTAACGGAGATATCAGCGTGTGTAGCCTGGCAGCCACCTGGGGAGTGCTTTTTAAAGCGCTGAAACAGAGCCAGTCTGAGGACAGTGAAACCGGGATGAGAAACTTTGATGCCGAAAGTTCCTCCATTGTACAAGATGGGAAACTGAGAGATGAAACCATGAGTGAGCTATGTAGTACTCTTTCAGCTCTGCCTGGACTCTCAGAGGACTTTGGCGGTGAGCGGGAGCAACCCGCGGACCAAAGATCTCCCTCTCCAGGGGGGTTTGAGCGCTCGCCATCCGCGGAGCTCGGCGCGCGGGCTTTGCCAGCAGAGGGGCCTCTCT